GTTCTTTTATCAATTTTCAGGGCTTGTTTTGTTTGTTCCATGGATGTCTCAGCTAAACCGGCCAATAAGAGACTATTGACTACCATTATATTATATAGTTCACAGAGATCAGCGCCCCCCAGCGGTGAACCATTGAAATTTCTAAACGTTTCGAAACCGCTTTGACATTTACTGAAATCACATGATTTTGGCGGATTGATACACGCTTCGAACCACTGATTCGAAACAAAAGATTGGTAAAGGTTTAGAAGCTTCATGAAGCAGTGTTTCGAAATCGCCCATCACTATAGTGTAAAGTGTATAGTCACGTGAGTCAGTAGTGCTGTTACTATATGAAACACTGCACTGCAAAAAATGCTGTTCTTACTCAGTATTTCTGTCTTGTTTCCAGTCTTAATATCTAAATATTCTTAAATCAGGTTGCATTTACTAAAGTAGTAAGATATTATGTATTGTTTTCTGGGGTAAAAAAAATCTAAATTATGCTTTTGCTTAAAACAAGAAAAATGATCTGCCAACGGGGTAAGAAAAATACTCTTGTTTCCGTTTGAATGAAGTTTATTTTTCTTACCCCACGAAGAATTTTTGGATATTTGGACTGGAAACAAGAAGAAAATACTAAGTAAGAATAGCATTTCTGCAGTGTAGCGCGTTTCTCATGAGCGGACGCTTGTCTTCTTCTAGGACACTGGTGCTGCCGTGTCAGTCGTTCTGTGAAGCGGCTCGTGAAGGCTGTGAGCCCGTCCTGCAGATGTTCAACGCCTCCTGGCCGGAGTTCCTGCGCTGCTCTCAGTTCACCAACACCACGGGCACCGGCGCTGAAAACACACCGCTCTGTTACACGCCACGACAGGCCAGGGGAAAGCTCTGTGAGTCGGGACACATGGCTTTCTGCAGATACTGGAGCTGCGTTTGGAATGAAGTTGTGACGGTTTGTCTTTCTGTGATTGTTGCCTTTAGCTGTGTGTGGAGGAAGCCATCACTTTCTGTGTGCGACGGGAATATGTGTCCCTCTCAAACTAGTGTGCAACGGATACAACGACTGCGACGACTGGAGCGACGAGGCCAATTGCAGTGAGTTTCCGTTTCTTATTTGTGCTTCCTTTCCTTTCCTAGTGTCTTCCCCTTAAGTGTCACCGGCCCACCGGTGGGCCCAAATCCATTACATTTTTAAAACAGTAATATCCTATACTAAACCTAAACTAATCTTGACAAACTATATATCATTTGAAAGCTTACAATCTCTAGTCTCCATATTTGGTGATTTATTTTCAAAATGAATTACAGAGGAGCCATAATTTATCAATTTGCAACAAGAATATTTTCATACTCCTAGACCTTTATTTTGAAATAGTGATGAACATGAAAAATCATGAAAGAAGGGTAGAAACCTCAGTTTGTTTTCATGCCAAGAGTTCAAAAGATAGCATCCATTCAATTATTTTAGAAAAAAAGGTCTGAATTTTTTTTAAATATAAAGAAAAAATTATAGATTCACCATTTGTGAGGTGGCAGGAAGCTATAACGCACATGTTTGTTCTTTTTGTGTTTCTTAGAGGTCGAATTCATATCAAAATCTGCCAAACGTCTCATATTACTTCTGAATAAGATGTCTACTTCATAAATTGTATGAAAATTATGGAAAAAATGGTTCATATTACTCAAAACACATTTGGAAATGGAGGCGCCCTTATATGGGCAGTAATGGAGTCTGGTTGTCATCTAGTGAAAAAGTTTGGTACTGCGCACAAACAAAATCTCACTGAAAGCTCATTTTTTGAGATATCAACCTAAAATTTGAAACACAACTTGTTCAGATTTTTGACTTTGATTTTTTTGCAGTTTTAGAGTCGCTCAGGTTTTGAAAATATATATTTTCTATAAAATATGAATAATAAAAAATTTTACATTGTAGATTTTCATAAACTCAAACTTCTATAACTTTTTTTCTAATTCACTTTCTTAATTTATTTCACTTCTACAAAAATCTGCCAAATGTCTTCTTTAAAACGAGACCAATCTTACGTCTATATTCCAAAGCATTCTTGAATTACAACCATTTAAGTTCGAAATGTGCATTTTCATGTATATTCAAAAAAAGGGGGGTGACACTTATTAAGAAACGAGAAGATTATGAGGAAGCGAAGGAAAACTTATTTGTACCGTGGAATATTCTTGATCACTCGAGCGTCACTTCACAGCATCATCAAGTTGTTGAAGTTTAGTTATTTCAGAAATTCATAGTAAATATTAATTAATCAAGATGCCTCGTTATTTATTTTGTATGATTTATTTAAACTGCAGAGGTAAACCATGCAGATGAAGGGGGGCGTCAGGTTTAACACACACCTGTGTGTCCGCACTGTTAGCTCCCTCACTCCTCGGTTCCTCTGAGGTTTTCAAGATGTCTGCTTTGAGAAGCACTTGTTCACACGCAATGCATCACATGCGCAATGTGAGACCTGACTGTGATCTTCTCCTTCTGTCGTTTGTGCAGCTTGTGCAGATGGACAGCATGTGTGTGCGACCGGTCGCTGTGTCAGCTCTGATCTTCTGTGCGATGGCTACGATGACTGCGGCGATCTGAGCGATGAGCAAAACTGTGGTGAGTACATTTGAAATGCTCCATTTGAGTTCACATTTGAGATCAGATCGGTTGGTAACAGGAGACGTTACACTTCGAGAGAATCCACGCACACTGTGCACATGTACAGCACAAGAGCTACATCCGTCTCGCCCAGCAATCTGATTCCATTAAACGCATTAAGACAACACATTTTACAACACACCTACAGAATGGAGTTCCCTGCCACTGTCGCCTTTTTCACCTTTGGCTTTTGGCTTGCTTAGTTGGGGACATTTAATTTAATATTCATATATATTATTGACATCATTATATGAGAACTGAACTGAGCTGGACGATGACATCACGGTTTTCTGCAGAGCGGCTATATAAATGAACTAAATTTTTTTTAAACTTTTTTACAATAAAAATGAACCATCACTAAACTTACTTAAGCTAGACTGTGACGCTATTTTCTTCTAGAAACAAACTTTGTTCCTTTCTAGAAAGAAATGATATCTGTGAGGATCTCCAGTCCGGATTTAGCCGGTACCATAGCACTGAGACCGCTCTCATCAGAGTCACACATGATCTGCTCTAATCATCCGATCGTGGTTGTATCTCTCTATTAGTGTTACTCGATCTTAGTGCTGCATTTGACACCATCGACCACAACATTCTTTTAAATAGACTAGAAAACTATGTTGGCATTAGTGGAATTGCATTAGCATGGATTAAATCACACTTATCTGACCGTTATCAGTTTGTAGCAGTAAATGAAGAGATGTCTTATCGATCACAAGTTCAGTATGGCGTACCACAAGGCTCAGTACTAGGACCGCTGCTGTTCACTCTGTACATGCTACACACACACACACACACACACACACACACACTCTGTACATGCTACACACACACACACACACACACACACACACACACACACACACACACACACTCTGTACATGCTACCATTAGGAGATATCATTAGGAAGCATGGCATTAGTTTTCACTGTTATGCTGATGATACTCAGCTGTATATTTCTTCACGCCCCGACGAAACTTACCAATCCACAAAATTAACGGAATGCATAGCTGATATAAAAAACTGGATGACTAGTAATTTCCTACTACTAAATTCTAAATTGACTTGAGTAATTTTGACTTGAAGACACAAAAATTGGAAATAAGGGAGATCGTAGCAGAAGGAATAAATCAATCCTACATAAAACACAAGATAACAGATAACAGACAAACACAAGATTGTCTTCAACGAGCCCAAAAGGGCCCACGTCACTCCTCTGTTCATCTCTCTGCACTGGCTACCACTCGCTGCTGGCATCAAGTTCAAGGCTTTGACGCTTGCTTACAGATCTACCACAGGATCAGCTCCGTCCTACTTTCACTCACTACTACAAGTCTACGTCCCTACCAGAAGCCTACGATCAGTCAATGAGCGACGGCTCGTGGTACCATCACAGCGGGGCACAAAATCACTCTCCAGAACATTCTCATTCGCGGTTCCATGCTGGTGGAATGATCTCCCCACCCTCATCCGGAATGCAGAATCCCTGACAGCATTCAAAAGACAACTGAAAACTCATCTCTTCCGGGAGCACTTAACATAAAAAAATAAAATAAAAATAAAAACCTTTCCTCTAAATCCTCGCTTGCCTGGCTTATGCTACTCCGAGCTATGTCTGAACTTTGTATTTTGAGCACTTCTTGCGTTGCTTTTGCCTCTTCACGATGACTCGCTTGGTTTAGTCCTCAGTTGTAAGTCGCTTTGGATAAAAGCGTCTGCTAAATGACTAAATGTAAATGTAAGATAACACACAAAGAAATTACGATCGGGCCTCGTAATGCAAAGTCAAAATAACTCAACCTGAAATAGCTCATTCAATGCCAAACAGGCATCAAGAGATTCAGAAGATGTTCATTGTAATGTACATTCACAATAAAAGCAGTTATTCATGCGATTTGAACACTTTTAACTGATAATTCCCAGACCGCTAAGAACATGCAACTTACCCACAGCATTTCTCCTCAACTCCTATTCCACTCGCTAAATGCCATCACTAGATGGCGCTGTCCCCATTTATGCCATAATTTAACCTATTTACACACTGGCTGTCAAACTGAGCATGTTAATGCATGTGCTTAATGGTGCAGCAACATTCAGAGGGATGCACCGATATGAAAATTTTGTCCGATACCGATAATTCTTTATATTTGAAAGCCGGTAACCGATATATTGGCCGCTAAATCTAAATGCAATTTTTTATATAATTTTTGAGAGCCTGTTTACAAAAACAAAAGTCTCACCATTAAAAGCCACGTCCCAAACACACAACTATAATGTTCTCCTTATGATTTGATGTAGCCGATATGACAGAACATGCTGCACTGAACTGTATCTTCCAAACATATTTCAAGCAATTCAAAGCCCTCATGTTGAACAGTCGCATCTGAAGAGTCTCGGCTGAAGGAAATAATACATTCATCATCAGCTTTAATATATCGGCACATTTTATTGTCGGGCCGATAACGACAACATTAAAACTGAACATGTATCAGCCGATACCGATATGGTGGCCGATATATCGTGCGTCTCTAATGAAGATGGGAGGAGAAGTTTGTAGAAATGAGCAGGGACCAGTCTGGGGGATTGTCAGAGAGATGGAGGAGGAGAGAAGCCAATGTCTGTGAGGAATCTATGAAGATTTAACTCTGAACGCTAAAGTTACCGTCAAGGCCCGATACACTCACGGCAAACTTCATCTTCTTTCTTGGCTTGGGGGTAAAAATAAGTGTGAAATACCTTTGCAGTGATATACTGTCAGGGCACATCCCAACCACATCCACATTTAGATGAATATGTACACATGTGCTTCAAATTTTCCTCTCAAGAACAAAATAAGCAACAAAAATGAGAAAAAAGCAGTTCAGAAAGCATCTGATCATAGTGATGTGGATGTTTGCAGCAGCTCTGAGATTCAGATCTACAGTCACGTCACGCTTATTCATACAGCAATGCTTAAAAGCAGGAGCTTTACAGTATTAAACATGAAAAACAGTGTTAGTGTGTCTATTATTCAGAATCACATGCTTCAGTCTCTACTATAAAGCAGCTCTTAGGATGTGCATGTTTGTACTCGCTCTGAACTTGATGGACTGAACAAGAGAAATGAACCAGAGCAAATGAACACCTGAAAGGAGGCGGAGCCTCAGAGCCACACCCACCTGTTACATCATCATCACCATTGACCAATGGGAGCTAAAGGTGTTTACCAGCCGGAGCAAACTGTTCCGGAAAGCTTTGATAAGATGTTTTGAACAGTTCGTTGTTTATCGGGGTTAAACGTTCTACTTCCCAATAAAGGATAAAGAATTCTGCTTATGTGTTTTCCTTCTTTGAGTCATTGTTCTGTCCTGAAGTGTAATTATGGGCTGTTTCGTCAGTGTGTGATTCGGCTGAAGAGCATCGCTGTGGAGAAGGACGATGTGTTCCTCGAGACTGGCTCTGTGACGGAGACCACGACTGCCTGGACAAGAGCGACGAGATGAACTGCTGTGAGTGTGTGTGTGTGTGTGTGTGTGTGTGTGTGTGTGTCTGTGTGAAAGAGAAGCTACTGAAAGAGATGCTTCCAGAGGTCATAGATCCTCTTCTCAATATCATTAATTCGTCTTTGTCTCTAGGATACGTACCAAAAACATTTAAGCTGGCTATGATTAAACCGCTTGTTAAAAAACGCAACTTTATCGTGCAGAATTAGTCAATTACAGGCCGATCTCGAATCTACCTTTTCTGTCAAAGATATTAGAAAAAGCAGTATCCTCACAACTGCTCTCATCAGAGTCACACATGATCTGCTCTTATCATCCGATCGTGGTTGTATCTCTCTATTAGTGTTACTCGATCTTAGTGCTGCATTTGACACCATCGACCACAACATTCTTTTAAATAGACTAGAAAACTATGTTGGCATTAGTGGAATTGCATTAGCATGGATTAAATCACACTTATCTGACCGTTATCAGTTTGTAGCAGTAAATGAAGAGATGTCTTATCGATCACAAGTTCAGTATGGCGTACCACAAGGCTCAGTACTAGGACCGCTGCTGTTCACTCTTGTTACATCCAGCGATTGTCTGTGTTTCTGTATCTCTTCTGTTTCGTGTCTTGTTGTTATCCTAGGTTTCTTCCTGTGCTTAATTTAGCACGAGGCGTGTCCCAGCTGATGGCATAAGGAGGGCTTGGGTGTGGCGAGAGGAGGCGGGAGAGACCGGCTTTGTTCGGTGTTTGAATTGTTGTTTGTATGCGAATGTAAACTTATGGAGTTAACAAATAAATCCTTAGACATTTGTTTGCCGAACTTTCTCCTGCCTTTCTTTGTTACTGTCTGAGAGCCAGTATGTAACACTCTGTACATGCTAGGAACCATACAGACTCTGTACGTCGGTTAGGAACCTGGGTGTGTGTGTGTGTGTGTGTGTGTGTGTGTGTGCTCTTTGATAGCAATCTTTCTTTTGAAAGTCACGTGTCTAGTATCTGTAAAACCGCATTCTTCCATCTTAAAAATATATCTAAATTACGCCATATGCTCTCACTGACAGATGCAGGACAGTTAGTTCATGCGTTCATGAGCTCAAGGCTAGATTCCTGTAATGCTCTACTGGGTGGTTGCCCTGCACGCTTAATAAACAAACTACAGCTAGTTCAAAACGCAGCCGCTCGAGTTCTTACCAGAACCAGGAAACCCTTTACCTCTGTACAGATAAAACATTGTCAAAATAATTCCATTCTGTATTATGAATTTAAGGCCGGACAAGTAATTTGTTGAGATCAACTTGTAAAGAGAGACTACGCGCCTGCGCACATATATATTCAAACACGCATCTCTATAGACTGAACACGTAATACGCATGTGCACGCCGTCACCGTTTTCACAGGTTCGCGTTTTTGAAGTTTACGCAGATAACTTTTTTTTTTTCAACGTCTGCACATTGGAACCTATTTCAAGGTTTGCGTTCTCGAGCCGCCAGGCACTGTTGTGTGTATGAGCGGCCGGAGCGCGTTAAGGGTTTCTGTTAGAGCGGTGTCGTGTTAGCGGCCGCTAAGTTAATAACTAATGATCTCTAAAACGGAAGTGAATCAATCAAAACTAACTTTATCTGGACAATAACTTTATTCTAGAGCGGCTGTAAAGCCTAAACACTCTCTGTTACTGTAATCTCCTGTTATCTCTGTAAAGCTGCTTTGAGACATCTATATTGTTAAAGCGCTGTATAAATGAAGGTGGCTTGACTTGACTTGGGTTAGGTGTGTGTGTGTGTGAGTGTGTGTGTGTGTGTGTGGCTCTGTGACGGAGACCACGACTGCCTGGACAAGAACGACGAGCTCAACTGCTGTGAGGAACTGCCTTCACTGTACTGTGTGTTTGTGTAACCCTGCAGTGCATTAACGTGTGTGTGTGTGTGTGTGTGTGTATAGCATGTAAGTCCCAGGGTCTAGTGGAGTGCAGGAACAAGCAGTGCATTCCCAGTGCCTTTCGCTGCGATGGTGAAGAGGACTGTAAAGATGGCAGTGATGAAGAAAACTGCACACAACAACAGAGTGAGTGCACACACACAAACACACTCACACACACACACACACACACACACACACACACACACACACACACTGATGGCTCTGTCTCTCAGCTCAGGGTTTGTGTCCTCCTGGTCAGTCCAGTTGTTCTTCCTCCTCCTGCTCCTCTGGCTATCATGGAAACACGTCATGTGACCTGCGCAACAACTGCAGTGAGTGACCTCTGACCTCTGACCTCTGACCTGTCCACACACAGAGCACTGCAGAGACACCCATGTTTTACTCTAGATTTAGTGACAGTTAGTTTAGCCAAACAGCAAAACACTGGAGGTTAAGCGTCCTGATTGCATAGTTTTAATGTGTGGTAACAACATTTGAACCCCTCACGCAGAGAGGTCACCACAGTGGACCCTACTAACTGCATAACTGCACATCAGTGAGCTCTAGTGCATCATGCTTTACACCGCCACCAATTGACATTTAAACGCACGAGCCTGCTCTCTGTCGGCTCATTGAAGTGCGCATGTGTGTAATGTGTGTAATGTGTGTAATGTGTGATATGTGACGGCCTTTAAACGCATCCAGGCAGAGCGAGCGTTTCGCTGTAGGGGAGGAGGAAATATATCGCAAACTCCGACTCTTTCTTGACCCAAGACATGCCACAGTCCAAATGCTGCATCTGTAACAGATATATGAATATATTATTATATATGATAACAACGGGAGTCAGATACATGAATGATTACGTTTTGACGTCACTACGGGAAATAATAACCTGATTTATTAATAAAGTCTTGTAAACGTGTTTACTTGCGTTGCCGGGTTATTGGTTCGCATGTAAACTGGGACAACGGGATATTTCAATAAGCTGATTTTAGTTAGATTAAATCAGTTTAATATTTCTATGTTCTGTGTCACTGTTGTGTTGGTTTCCTTTCTCTGTTTAGAAGAGAACTGAGTCTTTATATCTCCTTTATAAAAGCTTTATAAGGCATAACTAGTCCTCACTTTAGATGAGCTCACACACATAGTTAACTGACCACTAAATGCTTTATAACTACCTGAGTTAACCCTGAATTACAGTAGAAATACATGTTAATATAGCATTTATTAACACTGGTTATTAACTATTACTATACACTCACCTAAAGGATTATTAGGAACACCATACTAATACTGTGTTTGACCCCCTTTCGCCTTCAGAACTGCCTTAATTCTACGTGGCATTGATTCAACAAGGTGCTGAAAGCATTCTTTAGAAATGTTGGCCCATATTGATAGGATAGCATCTTGCAGTTGATGGAGATTTGTGGGATGCACATCCAGGGCACGAAGCTCCCGTTCCACCACATCCCAAAGATGCTCTATTGGGTTGAGATCTGGTGACTGTGGAGGCCATTTTAGTACAGTGAACTCATTGTCATGTTCAAGAAACCAATTTGAAATGATTCGAGCTTTGTGATATGGTGCATTATCCGGCTGGAAGTAGCCATCAGAGGATGGGCACATGGTGGCCATAAAGGGATGGACATGGTCAGAAACAATGCTCAGGTAGGCCGTGGCATTTAAACGATGCCCAATTGGCACTAAGGGGCCTAAAGTGTGCTAAGAAAACATCCCCCACACCATTACACCACCACCACCAGCCTGCACAGTGGTAACAAGGCATGATGGATCCATGTTCTCATTCTGTTTACGCCAAATTCTGACTCTAACATCTGAATGTCTCAACAGAAATCGAGACTCATCAGACCAGGCAACATTTTTCCAGTCTTCAACTGTCCAATGTTGGTGAGCTCTTGCAAATTGTAGCCTCTTTTTCCTATTTGTAGTGGAGATAAGTGGTAACGAGTATCTACTGTGGCTACTCACAAATCAGGTAACCAATTGGACCTCATCTACACGCGCTACTGCTCTACGGACAATACACTGGTCACTCCACTGCACACCTCAGATCACTTCCTCCTCACTCTCAACCTCAACCTGCCTCAGAACACAACACACACTCCTCCACAGGTCACCTTTCGACGAAACCTACGCTCACTTTCGCCCTCTAACCTATCCTCTTTGGTCTCATCCACACTTCCTCCACCTGATCAGCTCTCAACACTTGATACTAACTGTGCAACTGATACTCTATTCTCCACTTTAACATCCTGCTTGGACAACTTCTGTCCCCTTTCCTCCAGGCCAGCCCGCGCCACACCCTCTGCCCCCTGGTTAACTGATATTCTTCGCGAACATCGTACTAAACTCAGGGGTGCAGAGAGGAAGTGGCGCAAATCGAAAGATTCGACAGACCTGGGTCTTTATCAATCCCTTCTCTCTTCCTTCTCTGCTAACATCTCTACTGCTAAAATGGCTTACTGTCACAACAAAATTATCAATTCTTCTGACTCTCGCATGCTTTTCAAAACCTTCTCCTCTCTTCTTAACCCTCCTCCTCCTCCTCCTTCATCAACCCTAACAGCTGACGATTTTGCCACATTCTTCATAGAAAAAACAACCACCATCAGCGGCCAATTTACCAATCCACAAACTGACACACACATTTTACCAACAAACGCACAAATTCTACCCTCCTTCTCTCTACTTTCAGAGGCGGAAGTCTCTAAACTCCTCCTTTCCAATCACCCTACTACCTGTCCGCTCGATCCTATCCCCACTAATCTACTTCAAGCCATTTCTTCCTCAGTTGTACCCACACTCACGCACATCATAAACACCTCTCTTCACACTGGTACCTTTCCCACAGCTTTTAAGCAGGCTCGAGTAACCCCACTGCTTAAGAAACCCAATCTAAATCCAGCACATCTAACAAGTTTCAGACCGGTATCTCTTCTTCCATTTGTCGCGAAAACACTTGAACGAGTTGTTTTCAACCAGATCTCCTCCTTTCTTACACAGAACAACCTCCTGGACGACAATCAGTCTGGTTTCAAAAGTGGACACTCAACTGAGACTGCCCTGCTCTCAGTAATTGAAGCTCTGAGACTGGCAAGAGCAGCTTCCAAATCCTCAGTCCTCATCCTGCTGGATCTGTCTGCTGCTTTTGACACAGTTAACCACCAGATCCTCCTGTCAATCCTAAAGATGAAGGGCATCTCGGGAACTGCACTCCAATGGTTCGAGTCTTACCTCTCAGGTAGGTCCTTTAGGGTGTCGTGGAGAGGTGTGGCATCTAAGACCCAACATCTAGCTACTGGGGTGCCTCAGGGCTCAGTGCTTGGACCACTCCTCTTCTCCATCTACATGACATCACTAGGATCTGTGATTCAGAAACATGGCTTTTCCTATCATTGCTACGCTGATGACACGCAACTCTACCTCTCATTCCAGCCTGACGATCCGACGGTAGCTGCTCGTATCTCAGCCTGCCTGACAGACATTTCTGGCTGGATGAAGGACCACCATCTTCAACTAAACATTGCGAAGACAGAGCTACTTGTGGTCCCGGCCAACCCAACACTTCATCACAACTTCTCCATTCAGCTAGGCTCGTCATCCATAACTCCATCAAGGTCAGCTAAGAACCTTGGGGTTGTAATTGATGATCAGTTGAAATTCACAGACCACATTGCTAGAACTGCCCGGTCCTGCAGATTTGCCTTGCACAACATTAGGAGGATCAGGCCCTTCCTTACAGAGCATGCCACACAACTCCTTGTCCAAGCACTTGTTTTATCCAGACTGGACTACTGTAATGCTCTCCTGGCTGGTCTTCCAGCTTGCTCTGTTAAACCTCTACAACTGATCCAGAATGCTGCAGCCAGAGTAGTCTTCAATGAGCCGAAGAGAGCACACGTCACTCCTCTCCTCACACAATTGCACTGGTTGCCAGTTGCCGCTCGCATTAAATTCAAGGCACTGACGTTTGCATACAGAACAACCACTGGCACTGCTCCATCTTACCTAAACTCATTACTCCAGACTTATGTGCCATCCAGAAACCTGCGCTCTGCTAGCGAATGTCGTCTTGTGGTACCATCTCAAAGAGGCTCAAAATCTCTTTCTCGGACCTTTACCATGGCTGTTCCCTGTTGGTGGAATGATCTGCCTAACTCAACCAGAGCTTCTGAGTCAGTAGCCACTTTCAAGAAACTGCTGAAGACATATCTTTTTCGGCAGCACTTGATTCAGTAGAATTAACACTTTCTCTTCTCTTCTATTCTAAAAAAAAAAAAAAAAAAAAAAAAAACCTGCACTAAAATTGAACTGAGAGGGGTTATAGCACTTACGTATTGTTGTCCTACTGTTAGTTTAACTGCTTCTATTGTTCTCATTTGTAAGTCGCTTTGGATAAAAGCGTCTGCTAAATGAATAAATGTAATGTAAATGTAAATGTACCCGCTGGGGTCTTCTGCTGTTGTAGCCCATCCGCCTCAAGGTTGTGCGTGTTGTGGCTTCACAAATGCTTTGCTGCATACCTCGGTTGTAACGAGTGGTTATTTCAGTCAAAGTTGCTCTTCTATCAGCTTGAATCAGTCGGCCCATTCTCCTCTGACCTCTAGCATCAACAAGGCATTATCGCCCACAGGACTGCCGCATACTGGAGGTTTTTCCCTTTTCACACCATTCTTTGTAAACCCTAGAAATGGTTGTGCGTGAAAATCCCAGTAACTGAGCAGATTGTGAAATACTCAGACCGGCCCGTCTGGCACCAACAACCATGCCACGCTCAAAATTGCTTAAATCACCTTTCTTTCCCATTCTGACATTCAGTTTGGAGTTCAGGAGATTGTCTTGACCAGGACCACACCCCTAAATGCATTGAAGCAACTGCCATGTGATTGGTTGATTAGATAATTGCATTAATGAGAAATTCAACAGGTGTTCCTAATAATCCTTTAGGTGAGTGTATGTCTGAATAATAAGAATGTAATGATTTATGAATGTTCATTTTAATAGTTTATTAATCATTTACTCACACTTTCTAAGTGATCTTATGAACCACTGACAACTCCTAAATAACTGGTTTGTAAATAAGGCAATACTTCATTTAGAAATGATAAATTGATAATTAATAAACTATGAAAATACAATTATTAAACACATTATAGATATGCTTATAAACCAAGAATGAAGCATTTAACTGTATTTATAAACTGCTTATTAATGTCTATTAATGCTTTGTAAATGATGAATAAACTGTTTACTAATGCTTAACTGATGATTAATAGCGTGCAGTTATTATAAAGTGTTCCTGTTTCGGCATTGTTCCTATTGAATAGACTAATAAATAAATTAAAAAGAGCAATAAACCCGCACAGGGAAAACCCCCGTGGTTATGACAGGTCATGCCTGAGCGCACGAGTGTGTTCTGCTGTGTTCCAGGCGTCTGCGAGCCCATCTCTGTGGAGATCTGCATGAACCTGCCCTATAACTCCACCAGGTTCCCCAACTATCTGGGCCACCAGTCCCAGAAGGAGACGTCGCTGAGCTGGGAGTCCTCGCTGTTCCCCGCGCTCGTGCAGACGCACTGCTACAAGTTCCTCATGTTCTTCGCATGCACAGTGTTAGTGCCGATGTGTGACCCTGTGACACAGCAGAGAGTGCCGCCCTGCAGGTCAGTGTGTGTGTGTGTGTGTGTTTGTGTGTGTGTTTGTGTGTGTGTGTGTGTGTGTGTTTGTGTGTGTCTGTGTGTGTGTCTCTGTGTGTGTGTGTGTGTGTGTGTGTGTGTGTGTGTGTGTGTGTGTGTGTGTGTGTGTGTGTGTGTGTGTGTGTGTGTGTGTGTGTGTGTGTGTGTGTGTGTGTGTGTGTGTCTGTGTGTGTGTGTGTCTGTGTGTGCGTTCAAAAACTGATAAATGCCCAGTGTTTACAGTAGCAACAAAACCTGTACGTGTATATTCTCTTCATGAGACATACACTTATCTTGGACATAAAATTAACATAGCAGGAGAATGGAAGGAGCAAGTAAGCAAAATTTTGTCAGAATTTACATCTAGGCTGGATTTGATTGACAAATGCCCTCTGCCACTGACTATGAAGCTAGAAGCTATTAGACAGGTGGCACTGTCTAAAGTACAACATCTATTCTCCAACGTTCATATCCAACAGAAAGTGCTGAGTGAAATGAATAACAAGACAGTGAGCTTAGTCCGAAAATGGTTTGAACTGAACACGCATAGTACCCGTGATATTATTTTTCATCCCCAATGGGAAGGAGGGTTGGGGGTACCAAACATGATCTGGATTTATACCAGCATGCGTATTTCCCATCTTCTGAACATGCTGAATAATGACGACAAGGAAGTGAGAGAGCTGGCCCGATCCTCCCTGTTCCTGGACCTCCGGAGACGCAAGGTGCCGCTGGCCAGAGAGTCAGAGACACACTTCCTTGGCTTTAAGAGAAAATCCAGCGGGAAACTTGACACCCATTCTGCCGGCTTTGGCGTCTGGTCGGACTGGCCGGACCTGAACGACCTCTGTGTCCGCACTGGAGTATCACTGGAGTGGGTGCGGTCTGACTCTGGGACTGTGAGGGTCTCCGAGGACATCATCACTGACCCCCTGACCTCTGTCAGGGCCACAGCCACATACGGGGGTCACAGCTACACCCTAACACCCACAGGGGCCCGGACGACTCTCCTGACCCCGTGACCTCTGTCAGGGCCACAGCCACATACGGGGGTCACAGCTACACCCTAACACCCACAGGGGCCCGGCCGACTCTCCTGACCCCCTGACCTCTGTCAGGGCCACAGTCACATACGGGGGTCACAGCTACACCCTAACACCCACAGGGGCCCGGACGACTCTCCTGATCCCCTGACCTCTGTCAGGGCCACAGCCACATACGGTGGTCACAGCTACACCCTAACACCCACAGGGGCCCGGACGACTCTCCTGATCCCCTGACCTCTGTCAGGGCCACAGCCACATACGGGGGTCACAGCTACACCCTAACATCCACAGGGGCCCGGCCGACTCTCCTGACCCCGTGACCTCTGTCAGGGCCACAGCCACATACGGGGGTCACAGCTACACACTAACACCCACAGGGGCCCGGACAACTCCCCTGACACCCTGACCTCTGTCAGGGCCACAGCCACATACGGGGGTCACAGCTACACCCTAACACCCACAGGGGCCCGGACGACTCTCCTGACCCCCTGACCTCTGTCAGGGCCACAGCCACATACGGTGGTCACAGCTACACCCTAACACCCACAGGGGCCCGGACAACCCTCCTGACCCCCTGACCTCTGTCAGGGCCACAGCCACATACGGTGGTCACAGCTACACCCTAACATCCACAGGGGCCGGACGACTCTCCTGACCCCCTGACCTCTGTCAGGGCCACAGCCACATACAGGGGTCACAGCTACACCCTAACACCCACAGGGGCCCGGACGACTCTCCTGACCCCCTGACCTCTGTCAGGGCCACAGCCACATACGGTGGTCACAGCTACACCCTAACACCCACAGGGGCCCGGACGACTCTCCTGACCCCGTGACCTCTGTCAGGGCCACAGCCACATACGGTGGTCACAGCTACACCCTAACACCCACAGGGGCCCGGACGACTCTCCTGACCCCCTGACCTCTGTCAGGGCCACAGCCACATACGGGGGTCACAGCTACACCCTAACACCCACAGGGGCCCGGACGACTCTCCTGACCCCCTGACCTCTGTCAGGGCCACAGCCACATACGGTGGTCACAGCTACACCCTAACACCCACAGGGGCCCGGACAACCCTCCTGACCCCCTGACCTCTGTCAGGGCCACAGCCACATACGGTGGTCACAGCTACACCCTAACATCCACAGGGGCCGGACGACTCTCCTGACCCCCTGACCTCTGTCAGGGCCACAGCCACATACAGGGGTCACAGCTACACCCTAACACCCACAGGGGCCCGGACGACTCTCCTGACCCCCTGACCTCTGTCAGGGCCACAGCCACATACGGTGGTCACAGCTACACCCTAACACCCACAGGGGCCCGGACGACTCTCCTGACCCCGTGACCTCTGTCAGGGCCACAGCCACATACGGTGGTCACAGCTACACCCTAACACCCACAGGGGCCCGGACGACTCTCCTGACCCCGTGACCTCTGTCAGGGCCACAGCCACATACAGGGGTCACAGCTACACCCTAACACCCACAGGGGCCCGGACGACTCTCCTGACCCCCTGACCTCTGTCAGGGCCACAGCCACATACGGGGGTCACAGCTACACCCTAACACCCAAAGGGGCCCGGACGACTCTCCTGACCCCCTGACCTCTGTCAGGGCCACAGCCACATACGGGGGTCACAGCTACACCCTAACATCCACAGGGGCCCGGCCGACTCTCCTGACCCCGTGACCTCTGTCAGGGCCACAGCCACATACGGGGGTCACAGCTACACACTAACACCCACAGGGGCCCGGACAACTCTCCTGACCCCCTGACCTCTGTCAGGGCCACAGCCACATACGGGGGTCACAGCTACACCCTAACACCCACAGGGGCCCGGACGACTCTCCTGACCCCGTGACCTCTGTCAGGGCCACAGCCACACACGGTGGTCACAGCTACACCCTAACACCCACAGGGGCCCGGACAACCCTCCTGACCCCCTGACCTCTGTCAGGGCCACAGCCACATACGGTGGTCACAGCTACACCCTAACATCCACAGGGGCCGGACGACTCTCCTGACCCCCTGACCTCTGTCAGGGCCACAGCCACATACGGTGGTCACAGCTACACCCTAACACCCACAGGGGCCCGGACGACTCTCCTGACCCCGTGACCTCTGTCAGGGCCACAGCCACATACGGTGGTCACAGCTACACCCTAACACCCACAGGGGCCCGGACGACTCTCCTGACCCCGTGACCTCTGTCAGGGCCACAGCCACATACGGGGGTCACAGCTACACACTAACACCCACAGGGGCCCGGACGACTCTCCTGACCCCGTGACCTCTGTCAGGGCCACAGCCACATACGGTGGTCACAGCTACACCCTAACATCCACAGGGGCCGGACGACTCTCCTGACCCCCTGACCTCTGTCAGGGCCACAGCCACATACGGTGGTCACAGCTACACCCTAACACCCACAGGGGCCCGGACGACTCTCCTGACCCCGTGACCTCTGTCAGGGCCACAGCCACATACGGTGGTCACAGCTACACACTAACACCCACAGGGGCCCGGACGACTCTCCTGACCCCATGACCTCTGTCAGGGCCACAGCCACATACGGTGGTCACAGCTACACCCTAACACCCACAGGGGCCCGGACGACTCTCCTGACCCCGTGACCTCTGTCAGGGCCACAGCCACATACGGTGGTCACAGCTACACACTAACACCCACAGGGGCCCGGACGACTCTCCTGACCCCGTGACCTCTGTCAGGGCCACAGCCACATACGGTGGTCACAGCTACAGCCTAACACCCACAGGGGCCCGGACGACTCTCCTGACCCCGTGACCTCTGTCAGGGCCACAGCCACATACGGTGGTCACAGCTACACCCTAACACCCACAGGGGCCCGGACGACTCTCCTGACCCCGTGACCTCTGTCAGGGCCACAGCCAAATACGGGGGTCACAGCTACACCCTAACACCCACAGGGGCCCGGACAACCCTCCTGACCCCCTGACCTCTGTCAGGGCCACAGCCACATACGGTGGTCACAGCTACACACTAACACCCACAGGGGCCTGGACAACCCTCCTGACCCCCTGACCTCTGTCAGGGCCACAGCCACATACGGTGGTCACAGCTACACCCTAACACCCACAGGGGCCCGGACAACCCTCCTGACCCCCTGACCTCTGTCAGGGCCACAGCCACATACGGTGGTCACAGCTACACCCTAACACCCACAGGGGCCCGGACGACTCTCCTGACCCCGTGACCTCTGTCAGGGCCACAGCCACATACGGTGGTCACAGCTACACACTAACACCCACAGGGGCCCGGACAACCCTCCTGACCCCCTGACCTCTGTCAGGGCCACAGCCACATACGGGGGTCACAGCTACACCCTAACACCCACAGGGGCCCGGACAACCCTCCTGACCCCCTGACCTCTGTCAGGGCCACAGCCACATACGGGGGTCACAGCTACACACTAACACCCACAGGGGCCCGGACAACCCTCCTGACCCCCTGACCTCTGTCAGGGCCACAGCCACATGCGGGGGTCACAGCTACACCCTAACACCCACAGGGGCCCGGACAACCCTCCTGACCCCCTGACCTCTGTCAGGGCCACAGCCACATACGGGGGTCACAGCTACACCCTAACACCCACAGGGGCCCGGACAACCCTCCTGACCCCCTGACCTCTGTCAGGGCCACAGCCACATACGGGGGTCACAGCTAAACACTAACACCCACAGGGGCCCGGACAACCCTCCTGACCCCCTGACCTCTGTCAGGGCCACAGCCACATACGGGGGTCACAGCTACACCCTAACACCCACAGGGGCCCGGACAACCCTCCTGACCCCCTGACCTCTGTCAGGGCCACAGCCACATACGGGGGTCACAGCTACACACTAACACCCACAGGGGCCCGGACAACCCTCCTGACCCCCTGACCTCTGTCAGGGCCACAGCCACATGCGGGGGTCACAGCTACACCCTAACACCCACAGGGGCCCGGACAACCCTCCTGACCCCCTGACCTCTGTCAGGGCCACAGCCACATACGGGGGTCACAGCTACACCCTAACACCCACAGGGGCCCGGACAACCCTCCTGACCTCCTGACCCCCTGACCTCTGTCAGGGCCACAGCCACATACGGGGGTCACAGCTACACCCTAACACCCACAGGGGCCCGGACAACCCTCCTGACCTCCTGACCCCCTGACCTCTGTCAGGGCCACAGCCACATACGGGGGTCACAGCTACACCCTAACACCCACAGGGGCCCGGACGACTCTCCTGACCCCCTGACCTCTGTCAGGGCCACAGCCACATACGGTGGTCACAGCTACACCCTAACACCCACAGGGGCCCGGACGACTCTCCTGACCCCCTGACCTCTGTCAGGGCCACAGCCACATACGGTGGTCACAGCTACACCCTAACACCCACAGGGGCCCGGACGACTCTCCTGACCCCCTGACCTCTGTCAGGGCCACAGCCACATACGGGGGTCACAGCTACACCCTAACACCCACAGGGGCCCGGACGACTCTCCTGACCCCCTGACCTCTGTCAGGGCCACAGCCACATACGGTGGTCACAGCTACACCCTAACACCCACAGGGGCCCGGCCGACTCTCCTGGACCTACACCAACACCAGCAGAAACAACACTGGACAGGCCTGAACCTTCAGGGGAAACTTGCGTGTCTCTCCTCCGCTGATCACTCTGTTTCTCACTCATTTTTTAAGAATACTGCACTCAGCGAGGAGATTATCATTTTTATGGTAAAAGCCAGACTACAAGTTCTTCCAACCAGACTCAATCTTTCTATCTGGTTTCCTACAACTCAGGTCCCTCACTGCTTGCAACACACTACAGAACAGATCACAGAAACACTGCCACACATCTTAAACGGCTGCCATGCCTATACAGGAATGTACATCGCACGCCACGACAGAATAGTGGATCTTATAGTGAAGGACATATCAAGCCTTTTCTCATCTGCTGTAAAAATGTACAAAAATTCGTGTGTAAAATCATCTATGTTTCAGAAGTGTAATAGCCCTGAAACCTTTTCTCATGTGCTTGCAAATACACCAGATATTGTTGTGATTAATGAGGAGATCAGCGAGGTGTTCGTTGTGGAGGTTGCATGTACATTTGACTCTAGTATGGAAGAAGCTTTTATGACTAAGATGATTAAATATCAACCACTCCTAAACGTCATCTCAGAGTTA